TTATCGGAAAAGCTGTCTATGCTGTCAAAAAGCCTGGACTTTAATTTTTCGTGGGGAATGGTTGTATAAAATGTTGAAAAGTCTTAAGTTTTGATGTTATTGATTTCATTAAAATTTTGTGATTTCAATTTTTTTAAAAGTTCTTTGGATATATATATATATATATATATATATATATATATATATATATATATATATATATATATATATATATATATATATATATATATATATATATATATATATATATATATATATATCTAGGAATCCCGTAAAGGTATGGTAATTCAAATTCAATTTGATTGCTGGGAATATTAAAAATATTTGAAATTGACATATGATTTGGAAGAATTTCCTACTTGGAAAGGGAACTATAAGTTGGATTACCGCTTGCAGAATTAAATCCATGTTCCTTACAAACAAATACAAGTTGTTACCTGCTTTGTCAGCTGGGACCAGTACATATTAATCGTGTAATCTATCTTCTAATTCTCTTTTTCAATTCTGAATTATTGAAGACTGATGGATATATGGTTTTCAAATTGCTCATAAGCGCTTAATGCGAGATTTCAACATCCATCTGATACTTTTAATCCATTCTGACAGAGTTTCAAGGTTTCTTTTTCATGTTTGCTCCATCATCTGGTGTAATCTTCCACAGAATTCATAATATTTATGAAATTATGACGCCAGTTGAAAGATCGGGATTCCCTAAATTTTGGCCCTAGTAAAATAAGTAGGGATGGCAACGAATATTCGAACATTCGAATATTCATTCGATGAGTTGATATTCGAATATGAATTTAAGATTCGAATATTCGGTGTTTTTCAGATTTCATAAAAAGAAGTACTGTGATTAATAAATTTTGATTAGAACAGTGCTGAAATTATTCCTGTTAATTTACTAGCGATCAATTTCGATCGACTGATTTCTTTCACTACTTTCTTATCTTATAAATCTTCTGAATTACATGTATTTTGTTTTGAGTAAGGTGTTGTAAAGAATTGTACAATAATGTTTTATGTATAATACAAAACGTACTTTCGTAGCTTTTATTAGTTATAGATACGATCGGATCTAGAATCGAGGACAACAAATGAAATCTAAGAATATCTAAAAGGCGTGAAGAGTATATTTATCAAAATAAAATTAATTGATCATTGAATGAATGTCCGAGAGAATTAATCTGTAATTAATATTGTAAAGGGCTTAATTTCAGAATAAATGTGTAAATTACTTGATTATCTTGGGTTGTACATAATTTATATCCATTATCGGGAAAACATTTAATTACCTAGGAAAATTGTCTATGGAAATTTTTTTTTTACATTGTATCAAAGATTATAATCATATCTCTTATCAGGCAGATAATTGTAATTTTTTACACGTATTGAAATATGAACAGTATACCGTTACTCCTGTCTTGCCTTTTGTGAGATGACAGGTTCCTCAGATGGGGCTGCTATAAATACACGTTTCATTTGTTAAAATTATACTTTTCTACATTTAAATCAATTATTTATTTCAACCATTGACAAATATCAAATGGAATTTCTTATTGTACACCTACAAAAGTCTTCATACAATTTTACTTCCTATATAAGTATACCTACGAGAGTAGGATGATGCATATTTAAAATAAAACAGATTTTATTTATTTTATCGAATATTCGAATATATTCGAATACTTTCATTGAATATTCGAATATGAATTATTGACAAAATTGACATCCCTAAAAATAAGTAATTTAAGGTCCTCATTATTAACTATATAAAGTTACCAGTAATGACATGTCCAGCAGGACTATAGTTGTAGGGTGAAGAGGAACATGAACCCATACGAGGACTATGTTTCAGGTGTTCGATTTCTAGGCGCTGTAGAGGTTTTTTGTAATTAAAAAGTTTGGAAGCAATAGTCGATGGATATTTGTAAGAAACAAACAAAGAATGTGTACAAGGTGTGGACTTCTTCTTGAAATATGGTGAAATACAAGACTGGACCCTTTTGTGATTAAGAATTTACTGATATTTATTGCAACAATTCCTTTGTTGGCATGTTGAAGTTTAGGGAACAAACGGGTTGTCAGAGCAGTATTCTCTTCCGTAAAACATGTCGGTTTAAAAAAGCCTTTGATTTGCAATATCCATAATCACACATCCAAGCCTGTATTCTGTTGTCAGGAATCCAAACATGGACTTTTCTTAACCTTTTCAAATGGATCATTTAAAACTTTCAAAGGGATAAGTAAAGTTTGGTGCCAATGTAATGAAGACCTAACTGCTTATTTACATAAGGTAGCACTGAATCAAAAGAGACATATTGCTACACTGTGGACTTGAAAGATTCCCAACACTAGTATATGAAGTTTGATTAAAAAAATTTTCAACAGTGAAGTTCAAGGTAAAGATTCTTTCCTAAATATATTACTATACATGTATAACTTCGATCCCCTGTTGTGATCCCACCCTACAACCGTGTAATTCTGATCCTAAACTTGAATCTATACCACGTACATCCATATGAATAATCATGATAGCTTTGCTGTACTCGAGAAGATTTTTAAATTTTTTTCTTATGAATTCCTATGTTAAAATTTGATTGTCGATTGTGACCCACCCTAACCCCAGGGGTTATGATTTGAACAAATTTGAACCTACACTACCTGAGGATGCATCCATATAAATATGACTAATCATGGCTTTGCTGTTCTTGAGAAGATTTCCCCCTATATTCCTACCTAAAACTTTGATCGCCTACACTATAATGTGACCAACCTAGCCCCGGGAGTCATGATTTGAACAAAACTGAATCTACATTACCTGAGGATGCTTATTAATATGGCTGTTCATGGCTTTGCTTCTTCAGAAGAAAGCTGTTTTCCTATATATTCCTTTGTACGTGTATAGCTAATCCCCTGTTTTTCCTCATCCCTCTTCCGTGGGTCATGATTTGAACAAACTTGAATCTTCACTATGTTTTGAAGCTTTCAAGTAAGTTTCATACTTTCTGGCCCAGTGGTTTTTGAGAAGAATTTTAAAAGATGCCAGTAAATTTTCACTAATTCGTAATTATTTCCTCTTGAACAAATTTGAATTCCCTTTACCCAAGGATGCTGTGTGCCATGTTTGGTTGAAATTGCCAAGTTCTCGAGAAGAAGATGAAATTGTGAAAAGTTCACGACGACAAGGAAAGAGAACGGACAAATTTCGATCAGAAAAGCTCACTTGAGCCTTCGGCTTAGGTGAGCTAAAAGGACATTGAGGTCAAAGTCACAAGGAAAGTCAATGTCAGAAAATTATGACACACTTGAATATCTCTCAGACTCTCATCAATATATATCAGTTTATGAATTTGGTTAAAATATCTTGAACAGTTCCCTTTAAACTGGACACAGTTCAAAGTGTGTGACGAATGTTCAGATGGAAGGATAGAAGATGAAAATGACAAACAGAATATTTCCCGTTATATTCATGGCGGGACATAAATATACACAAAGAAAATCCGAACGCCGCATCAGATGCGCCCAAATAGTTTCATTTGCCTCCTGTAATTTTACAAATGTACATGTAACTGATCATTGAATTTCAAAATAACAATAAACGTCATTTAACCTTTAACAAGACCCATTGTTTGGTTTGGTTAGGAAAAGTTATGTATCATCCACTCAGATTAAGAAATAATGAATAACTGTATAAAATATCAGAGATTTTATCACTTTATTAGATAAATGTTTCACAGTTTACAATATCATTACGAGTACTTGTTCGTATAAATGGAAATTTAATTTTTTGTGTATATTTTAATAGAATAATCAAACGTCCATGTAATTATCTGAGGACTGAAATATATACATATATACATTAGGGAGACGGGCGAATGGATAGTAGACTCTCGCCATCATGATATATATTTTGTTTAATCTTATTGATATCTTTATATTTAAGGTTTTTAATTGAATATTTAATAACTCATGTATGCTTGGGCAGTGGGGAGGGAAAATTCACTGGATATGATATAAATTTCATGATAGTCCTGATTCAACGCATTCATAAATAAAGCAATAATCACACTGTGCAATACTATTAATAAATCTAATGTAAAATATCAAATACATGTATATTCCAATATTTCCACATGTTTTCGTTAGATTTTGTGTGGAATGTTTTACCTTATGTTATTTGTCTTTGTTGATATGCATTCCAATTTACTACATGGTGTGTTTTGAACTATATAAGTATCAGTGAGTTCTAAGATACTTGGTAAATGGAACAATGTTTATTTAAATCCAACACCAATACCTTCTCTCCTGATGGATGAAGTATAATGTTGTAAGTATCGGCCATATCTGCCAACTTAATGTCTCTACTTTCGCCGAAACCATTTTTAAACTGTCTAAGGTTAGATGTTCTATTACAGACCAACATATTATCATGTAAGTCAAAGGCAAGTCCTCTAAAACTTGGATTCTCTGGACTCATAAATATCTCCTTGTTATTTTGATCCACAACCGTTACCTTCCCATCTTTTATAAAGCAATGCCGATCTGATATCAATGACGAGGATACAAAGGGTACATCTCCACTAGGTTTATATGCTGAACTATGGATGACGCAAAAGTCAGAAGAACAAATCATTCTCTTGGATCTATTGGCCGCAAACACTGCTGTGGGTCCACGAGAAATCCCCAACATGGGCTCTTTCAAACGAATGGTTCTAAGTTTTGTGAATGTAAAGGTTTCTCGATCATTAATTCGATAATGATTGATAAAGTTTTTAAAAGAAACATACAATTCATTCAAACACGAACCGGAATGACACATGCCGTACGGTCTGTCCTGACACATCTCAGTGTGAACACATTCTCCTGTGGCCTTACTGATATCGTAAATCTTCAGCGAAGGTTGCTTTTCCAAAGATAATATAATCCTTGTGTCATGTATAAACAAACCATAATAAACTACTTTTGACAAATTGTCAATCTGGGATATTTTTTTTAAGTCAATTTTCATCCATTCCTTTTTGAGACATGGTTTTTCTTTTTTGCAGAACATTATCCTTATCGATGAAGATTTGCGCACTCCATAAAATTCTCTCCAATGCCCAAGATTGTAGTTTAGACAATTCTACGTCTTCAAACTCTTTTGCGTTGGAAATTTGACTAAGAAAGTCCGAGTTGTGCTGCTTGTAATCTTCAGAGAAATTCCAAATATCCAAAGACTTTAAACGAGTGATGTGATCAGAAACCTGATTTTGCAATTTACAGTTTGTAATAAACAATTGTTTTGAAGACCCACTCTTTAACACTGATTGTAACATGGTTCTTGCTTCATGTACTGTAGTGGAAAACCGTTTCAGCTCATCAGAAGCTAATTCAATATTTCCAATAGAATCTGCATGATTCTGCTCAAATCGTTTTTGCCACATTGCATGTGCATTGTCCAATAATGACTTGATTTCTTGAACTTTCTCTTCAGTGTTCATACAGATTTCCTGCTTCCTAGTATTGAGTTTAGCTACTTTATTTAAGTTTTCTAAAAGAATTTCTTCAAGACTTTTCTCCAAATCAATATATTTTAAAGCAATGTTTTGAACACTATCTCGGTCAATCTCCAGAGCTATATCTTCAACTGTGTCCACATTCTTGCAAATTTTATGCTGTTTGACATGGCATATACTACAACACAGCTTCTGATGGTCGTGGCAAAACACATCAAGTATCTTCCCTTGGTGCAACAGACAGACCTCTTCTACCTCCACTCCACTGCTCACCTCCTTAATGTTGGAGAAATTTAAAATTTCATGGTTCTGCAAACTTTTCACAGCTCTATGTAATAATTTGCAATCTTCGCAAATAGCTTCCATACATGCTTTGCACCAGTGCTTTGCAGGTACAGTTTTCTCTTGTCGTTTGCAAATCATACAGTATTTATTTTCATCTTGCTTAGGATCTACAGACATAGTCAGAATAAGTTTATTCTGTGGTAATTCAGATGCCCACTCTTCATTTGAAATGTCACACCTAGGAGCGTCGATACATCTACGACACACTGGACATTCGATCGATTTTAATGTTTCATTTTCCTTATGTGCTGCCGTACTTGAAATGTAAGTCTGAATACACGGCTCACAAAATGTGTGATAGCACGGCAAATATTTCGGATTTCTTACCTTTTCTAGACATATTGGACAGTGGCATTTATCACTCTCAGGGTTAGCAACAAGTGTTTCTTTTTTTGAGTAAGCCATTTAAAAGACTGATACATAAATTCTCAGCGGAACTTTCGGTTTATATTCCTCTATATAACTATGGCACACCGATTGCATGAAAACTGTATTCTGGATTTATACGTGTACACGCTTGAGCAGAAGGAAAAAAAATCGAGTAAAATGAAAATTCAAAGATCGTAGGAAAATATATATCATATTTTCAGATTTCTAGGCGACGCGATTTTTTTTTTATCACAAAAGTGCACTACAAATACGTGAAGGAAAAAAACAACAACACACATACAATTTTTTTTTTCAGGGAACCTGGCATGTAACCTGAAATACAAAGTAAAAAATCTGCGCTATTTGTAGAGACAGTTGCACCTGTATCCAGTAAAGCTATACTTGTAACATTGAATGCCACTGTCACTTCATTTGCGTCTCCTACTAATTCTTTTGATGTGGATCTGTTTTTGGCATGGCCAGATCCTTGATCCCAGATTGGCCTGTTGAAGTTTAATCGGACGGGTCGTTGATGATCGCATACACTACATTCAAAGGCAATGTGTCCCTCTTGATGAAAACGATAATATCATGCGCGGATCTAGAGGGGGAATGGGGGGTCCGCCCCCCCCCCCCCCCGGAATTTGCAGAGTTACTAGAAGTATATACTGAAGCAAGTAAAAAATTACTTTGAACCCCCCTAGAAAACGTGAACCCCACCATCACCACGGCAAAATAAGTGTTTTTCACGTTTTGGAAATGGATTTTAACTTCTTCTCTTTTTTTATTTTGCTTGTCAAGAAATGTTCTGGATAGGCAAAGGAATTTCTTTTTTTCTTTTTTTTTTATTCCTTGTCAAGAAATTTTTTTTAGATTTTTTTTTAACTGGGGAGGACCCCCCCCCCCCCCCCGAAAAGATTCCTGGATCCGCGCCTGAATATTACTTGATTTGGCAGACGTGTTTCATAAAAATTGTTCTAAGTCTTTGTTTTTATACTAAATGTGACTAGAACATTCTGTCTACCTGATCAATACTTAGGGCTCACGGCGGGTGTGACAGGTCGACAGGGGATGCTTACTCCTCCTAGACAACATTTACTGATCTCACCTCTGGAATTTCTGGGGCTTCGTGTTTTATACCCTGTTTACATATTTGTTTTTTAAAGATAGATCTCTTTTCTTTCTCTTCATCTTTTTCATTGTAGGTTATTTTTGAGATCGATCTCTGTTCGTTATGTTCAACTTTTTCATCTTAAAACGTACCATAATAATTCATAAGAAAACATTTGATTCAATGGGTTTTAAAACATAAAGCTCATAATGTTAATGAAAAAATGAACCAAACCCTTAAACCGTATTTATTCAAAGAGATATGTAACGTGTAAAGTTATCTGTCAATCATAATTCCAAAGACATTGAAAATTATTCCTTACATCAAATTTAAAAGTTTCAATTGTCTTGAGTTAATTCCAATTAAGATATGCAATTAAACGGTGTATAATTTATGGAAATGATATTAACTCATTACATGCCCTCTTCTACAAGTTTAAAGAATATTGTACTTTTACATCATTTATTTAGAAAGTTGCAGTAGTATTTGGTGTTTTTTTTTTATAAAGTGATATTTATCATGTCTCTATTTTTATATGACAGTACTTTATACACTCCATTGCAGTAGCTTAAAGTCTGCCCCTCCCATTCTACATCCTCTCCATGCTCGCTCCATGTGTGGTAAAGGATGACTGTACTTTCATGCGAAATGAGCTTTCAAAACGAGCATTTTTCTTTTAATTGCAGGAATGGTCAATATCCAATTTACAACTTTACGCAATTACATTTAATAAAAGTTTGTATTTACGAAGTACGTATCTGTTTTCATAGGTGGGGGGTAACCATGATTTCTTGAATCTCTATATACGATAAAATTAATAAGAACGCCCACTTTTTTCTGACTTAAAACATAGTTAGCACATATGTTTTTCTATTGTTCTTCTTTTAACAGTAGTTGTATATTTGCACTACTAATGTTGTGTCAAACGGAGATTAATAGACAAACATGCGTTCATGGCTTAAGAGACTTCTCTCCTCTCATTTTCCAACAAAAATATTCTACTTCCTTTGCTTCAATAATATCATCAATAATGTTTCCATGTTTAACTTCATTTTTCTCAGCTAACCGTATTTTCCGTATTTTCAACACTTTCAATAGTGTTTAAAGTTTACCTGGCAGCATATTTCAGTTTAAAATCTAACTGAATCTTTAATCTCTGAATGGTAAAATTGTTGAAGAACATGATGAACTTTCATGATACAACTCGTTAGCACGCCTCCATCTAAAAATATCTGTACACGTTTTTTCTGCCTTAATTGTCTATTAAAATACAGCATCTCTTAATAAAATCACATACAAGGTCATCATTAATGGACATATTGTATAAATAATCAGCCGCAGCACCATAAAAATCTGGACCTTCAAATAATCTAATTTCAGTGCTATATACAAGAGGTTTCATGAATTACATTTAAAGAATATAAAAGTCTTTGATACACGGTACTCCATATTCACATTTGACACTTCTGAAATTTTTTTAGTACGATTCTGTAATTGATTTACAAACAATTCCTAGAGTTCTCAAAATGGTAAAAAATAATTTGTTCTCCAAAGATGAAACAATAGCATTGTGAACAAAATTAATTTTTGGAGAATAAAAGATACTGTAATACAACTAGATATTAACGGATAAAAATGTACCAGCAACATTATCAAGAACAAAAATTAAAACGATTTCCTCCTTCATAAGAGGAACTTTCTCCACTCCATGACTTTAAAAAAAACTGCTTGTGAAGAATTTGGATCATCTGGTCCATCTTTAAAAAACAATTTTGAGACACATGAAAAATAAACACTTCATATGGATCTTTTGTTGTACAGGAATGTCTGTATTAATATGAATATTCAATTCTTTTCCATATCAAAAACTCTTGTAAACTGAAAATTGTAAAAGAGAGTGCGCAGAAAATGTAAAGGAATGAACATCATGAGATATTTCACTTGCGAAAAGAAAAATAACTTATTTTCTGTTGCTCTTCTACAATCTAAATACAAGACAAAATTTAAAATATTTTTTTCTATTACACTCTTTATTTGAATTATACCGCCAACATTTCTTTGGTACTATAAATATCTTTCCCTTCTCATAAGAAACTTCTCCGATATCATCTGTTAAAATTTATCTGTATACCATAACAATATTTTCCGTTTTTGCGTCTTTGCGCATTTTTACATTTTCACCGTTTGAACGCTGCTCTATCAAATGATTCCTAGACACTCAATCATTTCATTTGACAAAACAGTTGTAGTACTTTAACTTAATTGGAAATTTTTTTTTACACTAATGTCAAGAATGTTTAAAACAGCTTCAGCACTGGGAGAAATATGCTGCACATTAATATTATTACCGATAAAAATAATAATACATTCACAACTAGGGTCTACCCTTTGACTTGCCTCTAAATTCTACAATCTTTTCAATATTTACAGTCCTCATTAAAAGTATGATGTTCATTTTTTTCTGATTTCAATATATCTATTTCTTTTTATAGGTGCTTAGACACAGATTTGAACTTAACATTTTCTCAAATTTTCTGTATAATATCACGACTGAATTGAATTGAACATATTTTATTGACAAAGCCAAAAGGATAAGACACAAGTTCTACAACTTAGATAGTCTTCTCCTTATTCAAAATTTTATAACATTGCCATAATAAAGTACAATTATTCTCAGTAACAATTAGTAGTGTCAAAGACTGTAAGCTCTTTATACCAGAATACAATTCTATATACAAAAATTAAGATTTTTTAGAAAATCTACCACATTCTATTAAAAAAGTATGAATAACTTTAAAAATTTCTACATTTTGCTGATCAGAAAATGAATCTACACCCCATAACATCAAATGCACATCTATAATGTACAAACTGTTGAATGATAATAAATTACTCATTAGAGAATGTCTTGCTGTTGCATATTTTCTACAAACAAAAAACAAATGGTAGGGATCCTCTATTTGTCCATGCACATGAGCAATTTGGATTGTCTATTAAATTACAGCGAAATAGGTCAGAATTTAAAATACAATTATGTCTTAACCTTGTGTGAATAATATTCCAAAATCTCTTTCCAAAAGAGAAATACTTTGGAGGTTTTACAATATTACTTGACAAATTTTTTTTAAAACATTTAATGGATGTTGCCTCCCTTATGCCGAGTTTAATTGCATTCCACTTTCTAACTGTGTCCGGAATAAAAGATTTATTGAATAATTCTAATCTGCATTTTGGTAAGGAATAGTTGGAAGAATTTCGAGAAGAGTATTGTGAAATATTGCCTCTAATATCAGGTACTATATTTTGAATGTAAGTGGGTACTAAATTGTTGTGTATTTTGTACATTGTTACTAGATTAGTTCGATTTCTTCTATTTTCCAAAGGTTCCCATCCAGTTTCCAGATAAAGTGAATTTTTGGAAGCAATAAGTGTAAGACCTGTTACTATTCTAGCAGCAAATAATTGAACTTTCTCAAGCTTTTCAATATCTGCCTTTGTACATCCAGACCAAACTTCAACAGCATATTCCAGTTGTGGTCTGATAAAAGAAATATACATCTGGGATAAAATATCCCTTGACACAGTGAATTTTAGTTTTTTCAGTAAACCAAGTTTTTTGTAAGCCTTCTTTACAATGTTATCAATATGTTCAGACCACCCCAAATTTGAAGACAATAGTATCCCAAGATGTGTGTGTTGTGTGACATATTCTAATTGACAGTTCTCAAAAATTAAATTGGGAAATTGTTGCACAGCTTTTAAATGAAAAAATACAGCTTTGGTTTTCTGTGGGTTGAATTTCAACAACCATTTCTTCGACCATTCATGTAATATTCTAAGATCATGATTAAGATTTTGCTCAATAAGAGTGATATTTTCTGAACATTGTTGTAAAGAATTGTCATCAGCATATAATCTACAAACAGATATCATATTTTGAGCAACATCATTTACATATAGTAAAAATAAGAGTGGTCCAAGTATCGATCCCTGAGGGACTCCATCTTTTACATAACCTATGGAAGAGAGCAGATTTCTGTACTTGACTTGTTGTGTTCTGTTGCTTAAATAACTTTCAAACCAATTTAGCATATTGCTATTGATTCCATACATTTGAAGTTTATAAATTAAGCCTTTATGCCATACTCTATCAAATGCCTTGGATAAATCGCAAAACACCATACAACAGAATTTACCTTCATCAATACTTTTCACAATAGAATGGTATATTTCTAGAAGTTGATATACAGTAGAGTGCCCAGGTAAAAAGCCTGACTGATATTTATAAAAAAGATTTTTTGAATGTAGGTAATTGTACACATGTTTGAATATAATTCTTTCAAATATTTTACTTACACAACTCAACAAAGACACAGGTCTATAATTTGAAGTTATAGAGGGGTCATCCTTCTTAAATAGTGGAAGAACATATGCTAATTTCCAACATTCAGGAAATGTTTTTAATGATAATGATTTATTAAATAATATACACAGTGGTTTTGATATAGTATTTTTGCAGGACTTTAACATTTTGTGACTGATGCAATCTGGACCAACTGCTTTATTGACAGGAATTACTGAAATTATATCTGTAATCTCATGTTCTTGTATTTGTATTTCTGGAAATTTATCATTACATCTAATTTCTATATTTGGAAGTTCGTGGTCACTATCATCTAAAAATGTGATAGATGTAAAATACTTGTTTAAGAGTTCAATCTTGTCGGTGTCTAGTATTGCAAATCTATCTTTGTTATTGTCATTAATATACTGAATGGGTGGTATTTCACTCGTCGATTTAGTGTGAAAAAAGTCTTTCAATAATTTCCAGTATAATTTTTTATTATTCTTACTAGCATCCTTTAGATGAGAATCAATATTATAGTAATAATTAGTGATGGCATGTTTTTTCATGTTATTAACCTTATTTCGTATTTTACGAAAAATAATGCGATCAGATTCTCTTTTAGTTTTTTGTGCTTTTTTCCTGAGTCTATTGCGAATACGCATAGTTTTCTTTAGAAAAGAATCCATCCATGGTTTATCATTTGGCCTTATGGTTACAGTTTTTTCTGGTATGCATTGGTGAATAATAGAATTAAACTTTTCTGTGAAGTTTTTTGTAGCAGTTTCCATGTTTTCTGCATCATCAATAATGCTATTCCAGTCGCTTTGTAATATGAGTGTATTTAGGAGTTCTAAATCTGCATGCTTGTATTCCCATACTTTGCGTTCATATGCCATATTAATGCTGCTGTTCTGATGAATATATATATAAGTAGCCCTATGATCACTAAGTGTATGAGCAACATTCAAGGTACCAGAATCATGTACATGTATATTTTCACTAATAATGATAGGATCTATGAGAGTGTCTGTGTTACAAGTGATTCTTGTAGGTTCATGTATGATGTTTGTTAATCTGCAACTGTCCAAAATTGTATGAACTTCATGTGATGTATTTAGTTTTAAGAAATCAACATTAAGGTCACCAAGTATTACAATATTATTAGAGATATCATTGGCTTTTTCAATAGACCAAGAGAACTTTTGCCAAAAGATACTGCTAGTATGTGGTGGGCGGTAAATACAGCATATAAGAAGGTTTCTCTTTAATTGAGGTATTTCTATCCATAATATTTCAGTATCAGTTGGTTCTAAATCTATTCTGTGGCTTGCCTTAATAAAATTAGAGACAAAAATCATTACACCTCCACCATGGGAGTTTCGATCTTTTCTGAAAATACTCTTAAAACCTTCTATAAATAAACTTTCATCTGTTACACTTGGGTCCAGGTGAGTTTCACTAAAACACAGGATATCAAAATCATGAACTAAATACATGAGGGAATCAATCTTATTTCTTATACTTCTGATATTGAGATGTAAAATATCAAGAGAGTTTTCAACATTTGGTCCTGGATTTGTTTCAATGTCACCTGAGCGTAAAAGGATGAAAAACATAAATAACTGTGCAAAAAAATTTATTTTGAGGGACCAAGATGCCAGACTCTTGTATTGTTGCTTGAAAAACCCTAATGCAGACAGTAAAATTTTTAACAGATTTGCAATTTTTAAGACTCTTATAGCTGACCTTATCAGTATGCTATGACACTGGATGTAAAAAACCCCAATAGCGGCACGATACTGCTCAATAGAATTACGACTTATATACTGCAATAGCATTTCACATGAAAATATAATTAAAATATAATTAAAAACTTATTTTATCTGGAAATTATTGGAACTACGAATTCTGGGACGCGTTTGAATAACACATCTTTGCACTTACACAAATTTTAACTTTATCCTTAATATTTAAGAAAAGAAGCGGTTTTGTTACGTATTAATGAAAAATATTACATCTATAATCCAGAAAATTTAGAGTAGAAATAAATGTTCGACAGCAAAACCAACTCACCAGTATTGTCAGTCCTTGCTCTGTGATGTGTACAGAGTTTAAATAATTGAACACACCCGTGAAACGTAAACTGTTTTTGTAAACAGGGCATGTTTAATGTTAATGTTTACGATTCACCGGGTGTGTTCAATTGTTAAACTCTGCACACACCACTGAGCACGGACTTACCATACTGTGAGTGGGATTTACTTTCGAACTTTCTACTCTGAATTTTCTGAGTTATAGTTTTAATATTTTTCATTATTATACTTTCATGTTAAATACTAAAATCTGATTGGTTTAGACGCATTTAACAATCCGTAATGTTACCCTCAGCGTTAGCAACACACTTGACAACGGGTAACATTACGAAAATATCACATGCGTTCAAATCATGCGCGTACGGTTCACCGTAAAATTCTCAAAACGTCGGTTGTGCGTTTGAAAGAAGCCGAATAAACGAGGTCAATAAAAACTTGCGTATGATGTAGCTTACTTGAAAACAACAAACGACAGACGAAACATCCTTGCGAGTGCAAACTTTAGATGATAAAGGACTTTTTGAGTAGCAAACAAACAATAAAGAGGTTGGTAAATCTTTTCCGAAGCTTTCTTATTGAGAAAAATAGAAGCGGGGAATTTGAAAGCTTTCTAAGCGTGAACTTAACGACGATCTCCGAATTTTTTTATGACATCTGAAATCAATAAGACATTCAGTATAATAAAATAAATAGTGCACGTTTTTGAGGGTAACAGTTGAAATTGACACCCCAAGGAAAACCATTGTCAACCTCCGCTGACGCGTCGGTTGACAATGGTTTTCCTTGGGGTGTCAATTTCAACTGTTACCCTCAAAAACGTGCACTATTTATATATTAATACATAACAAAATTGCCACTTTTCTTAATTAAGTATAAAGAATAAAATTAAAATACGTGAAAGCGCAAGGATGTGTCAATCCAACGCGTCCAGAAATTCGAAGTTTTAATCACTTCGAGATAAAATAAGATTTTTATCATATTTTAGTATGAAATGCTATAGCAACATATATAAGTCATGAAATTATACAGACAATTAGAGAAAATATTAACTTCAAATTTGTGTCCAAACACCTTTAAGACTTAAAATGTGACACTGAACACCTTTTCCACTTTTTGTATTTTAAAGTTTCTTTCTTTCTTTTTTGAATTAACCTTTTCATGTAATAGTCTCATTCTCTCGGAGTTTCTTCCCATTGAGTTTCTGGTTGTGAAATATTATGTTGATATTTCTCCATTTCTGTTTCTCATTTTAAAGAATTGTATCATTGCTGCGGCGTTTTTCCTTTGATGTCCACTGTGTTTTTATTTTTGATACACCATGACTAACTGTGCTCTAACAACCATGCTCTTTCAAGATAGATGAATGTGTGAATTTCGTTTTGGATTTAAAAAAAATTGACGTGCAAAATTTAGAATTTTTTATGTAGACCTAAGGAAAGTTAAACCTTCACTATGTCTATATGTGTTTGCTCATTGTATATTGCTCATAAAGTCAGCTACTTTGTTTATATTCTTTTTCTTTATCAATGTAAGGTCAAGGATCATTGGAATTGTTGCATCATTACCCTGTGTTGTTAGAGCACAGTTAGTCATGGTGTATCAAAATATAAAAACACAGTGGACATCAAAAGAAAACACCTCAGCAATGATACAATGGAATGATAGATGATGTGGAGAGGATAGCACAGGATGTAGATTGACTGTTTTTTGAAAACATATGCCGGCGTGAAGCGTCATAGTTCATGTCCTCAAGAATTCTCAAAAATTAAATTTATCTCTTTCAGTAAACAACAACCCATAATACGCCAAAACATAACTTGAAATTAGGATGACAAAGTTTATCTTATGCATTTTTTTTTAAAGGATATTTGATTTTTTATTTAGCAACACCCAATCAGTGTGTCATAGTAAGAGGAATTCAAACCGAAAGTTGTGCAGCAGTAGTTGCTGTAAGGAGATTGAGAAAAAATGGCTGACTCAAAAAACGAAATCCCTGTCGAAAACCCTGAGACTGAAAAATGCCACTGTCCGATATGTCTAGAAAAGGTAAGGAATCCGAAATATTTGCCGTGCTATCACACATTTTGTGAGCCGTGTATTCAGACTTACATTTCAAGTACGGCAGCACATAAGGAAAATGAAACATTAAAATCGATCGAATGTCCAGTGTGTCGTAGATGTATCGACGCTCCTAGGTGTGACATTTCAGATGAGGAGTGGGCATCAGAATTACCACAAAATAAACTTATTCTGACTATGTCTGTAGATCCTGAGCAAGATGAAAATAAATACTGTATGTTTTGCAAACGACTAGAGAAAACTGTACCTGCAAACCAATGGTGTAAAGTTTGTATGGAAGCTATTTGCGAAGATTGCAAATCATTACATAGAGCTGCACCAAGCCTGCAGAATCATAAAATTTTAAATCTCTCCAACATTAAGGAGGTAGACAGTGAAATTGAGATAGAAGAGTCTTGTATGTTGCACCAAGGGAAGATACTTGATGTGTTTTGCCAACACCATCGAAAGCTATGTTGTATCGTATGTCTTGTCAAACACCATAAACTGTGCAAGAATGTGGACACAGTTGAAGATATGGCCCTGGAGATTGACCGAGACAGCATTCAAAAAATTTCTTTAAAATATATTGGTTTGGAGAAAAATCTTGAAGATATGCTGTCAGAAAACAAGAACAGATTAGACAAACTTAATGCCAGGAAGCAAGAAATTTGTGTGACCACTGAAGAGAAAATTCAAGAGATCAAAACATTATTGGACAATGCACATGCAAAGTGGCTAAAACAATTTGAGCAGAATCATGCAGATTCTATTGGAAATATTGAAATAGCTTTTGATGAGCTGAAACGGTTTTCCACTACAGTACATGAAGCAAGAACCATGTTACAATCAGTCTTAAAGTTTGGGTCCTCAAAACAATTGTTTATTACAAACTATAAATTGCAAAATCAGATTTCTGACCACATCACTCGTTTTAAGTCTTTGGACATTTGGAATTTCTCTGAAGACTACAAGCAACATAACTCGGACTTTCTTAGTCAAATTTCCAATGCCAAAGAGTTTGAAGACGTAGAATTGTCCAAAGTACAGAAAAGGGCAGTGGAGATAATTTCATTGAGTGTTCCAGAGGTAGATGACAAAGATAATATTTTACAAAGGAGAAAAACAATGTCTCAAAAGAACTGGATGCAAGTTAAATTTGAAAAACGATCACAGATTAGCGGATTTCCAGAAAGAGTTTATTATGGCTTATTTATACACGATACAAGGGTTATTTTTTCTTTGACTAGCCCACCTGCGCTGAAGATTTACGACATCAGTAAACCCACAGGAGAATGCGTTCACACTGAGAAATGTCAGAATACACCGTACGGACTCTGTCACACTGGTTTGAGCCTGAATGAACTATATGTTTCTTTTGAAAACTTTATTAATCATTATCTAATTGATATCACTGAAACTATAACATTCACAAAACTTGGAACCATTCAGTTGAAAGAGCCCATGTTGGCAATTTCGTGTGGGCCAACAACAGCATTTGCCGCCAATAAAACAAAGAGAATGATTTGTTCCTTGGACTTCTGCGTAAACCATAGTTCAGCGTATGTATGTCCTGGCAGTGCGGCACCATTTGTGTCCTCATCGACAATATCAGATCGGCATTGTTTTATAAGAGGTGGTGTGGTTATAGTTGTGGATGGAAATAACCAAGAGATTTTTAAGAGTGCTTGGCATGAAAATCTACGTGGTCTTACATTTGATTTAAATGACAATATTTTGGTTTGTAAGCATAAGACAACTAAACTTAAACAATTTAAACATGGCAAAAGTGAGAGTAGAGACATTGATTTAGAAGGCATCACAGAAACGTACAATGTTATACTTCATCCAGCGGGAGAGAAGATTTTGGTGTTAGACTTCAATGAAAAATGTTGTGTATACCAAGTATCGTAGAATTGGTTGATACGTGTATATAAATTTAACTAAATATATGATTCTAATACTTTCAAACATAGGCATCAGGGGGTCGTAACATAAAGGGTACTTAAGTCTAAGACCTTGCTTAAGTGGGACTTAAGTACAGTCTTAAACTTAAGACGTAACTAGAAGCGTGCTTAGATTTGACAATCTTAGCAAAACTTAGGCGACCGGTAGAGGTGACTTAAGTATGTCTTAACTTTCTTAAACACATATTTAGAACTATTTAAGGTTGACTTACTATGTTTAAACATTCCTCTAGTTATATTATGCATTAAAAAATAATTTTCTCTAATTAATATACTGGTATATGAATTTTAGTTTTTCGTCGGGGGGGGGGGGGGGGGGGGGGGGAGGTATTCATCACTAATTCCAATATCACTCTCTAAATGACATACATGTAAATGCAAAATATTATTTTTGGATACATTTGAAATATTAGTGGGACCTTGGTTATAAACACTAATCATTATAAGTAAATTGTATACAGTGATCATGGATTTGTTTGTTCACTGTGAAAAAATGAGATGAAATGATTTTAAAAATTGCAGGTGAAGTAAAGGATGATGAGTAGAGAACTATTTAATAAAGATTTTCTGTAAATTAGTTTGAAAGTAGAACGCAACAAACGAGGATTCAGACAGGGGTTCACTACCGTTAACGTTAGAGAGAGAGAAAGAGAGAGAGAGAGAATTGATAAGTTGGAGATATAAGAAAAATTGTTTTCTGAAAACAATATTATTCTTTTCCATCCTTCATTAAATTGTAAATAAGTATATCATAAAACGTCCGTAGTCTCTGCTTGCTGATATGGAAGGAGAAAAAATTCAAAATGCCCCTATTTTTTTTTTAAACTTTTTTTATTAAGAGTTTCAATTTCAAGAACGTAGACGTTCGGTTATCGTGCCATGTCTGCAAGAATGACAATTTGAAAGCAAGTGAACATTTGTCAAACGGAAGAATAACAACAAACGGTAAACTGAAAACATCGCAGTCGATCTCGAGTGATAAATAATATTCACGCATTTACAATGAACCACTAGTGCCACTTTGTGACCGTGCAATATTTATTTTCAAATATTCACAATTACTTAAGCAGAATTAATTTTAACTAAATACGAAATCTAATCTAACCTAACTAAAACCGATAGGTAAGGACGTCAACTTTAATATACATGTGTAGTGGCTTAGATTTCTATTTCATAGCCCTCGTTTCGTAAATTATATTTTACAAGTATTTGTTGGTATTTCAGTCTGATAATTCTATTTACCTTATGTTTTCAGTTGTTACTTACGTAAAACCCCGTTATTATTTGTCTTTTTTAAGTTAGGACATGTGTTGACATTCCACATGTTTTACTTTTTAAACAGGAAGTGTCATCCATGTTGGGAGTCTTTCCATAGTACTTTTGGTAGCTGTGTTCTGATTGGTTAACTTAGCTATAGAATCTTTGATGTTTATTGGCTTTTATATTTGGGCCTATAGCTAGGGTATTTAAAGCCGTGTTCGTGTAGTTTTCTTCACTTGGGTTGGGGAATAGACCTAATGGTTAGTTCCTCTTTACAGTGCTAATAAAACCTCCTGGTTTAAACGCACTTATTTGCTTAGTACCCTTTAGTAGTGCTAACAAAATCTTATGATTTAACAGTACTCTAGGTCTTAGCTAGCTTTAGTTTCACGTTTTTCACAGATTCTAGATTTTTTTTAGGAAACAGTTAGGATGTAGGTTTAATAGAATAAATTTATTTTCCCCTTTCCAAGTCAAGCCTGGTCTAGGGATTTGTAGATAACAGGTATAATTCCTAGAACCACTATTTACTATTTATTATTTATTTTTGGTGTTGTTTATTTTCTGGGTCAGTTATTTTTAGAACCTAGAATTAGCATTGATATTTTCAGTTCAACTCTAGAGTGTTGAAAGTAGTCATATTGGGTGATGTAGCTCATTCCTTTTACACTTTTCTAATTTATTCATTTAATAGGATTTTTGACCTTTTTCATAAGTATGGAAACTCGGTAGGGACATAAATTATTTTCATAGGTTTTTCACATTCCTCCCATTTTTCCTATTAAATTTTTCACAAACTTCTTATTTATTTATTGAGATTATTGTTATTCACTTGCCAGATTAAATTATATTTTTGATAAAACTATTTATTCCTGTGCAATTTTGAAAGACTATATTCTTGTTTAAATTTTGACTATTATTTATTATTTGTTATCATTTACAAAGGTTAATTCTCACTTTATTAAATTTATAAAACTTACAACTGTGTTTTCATTTAGCGTTGATCATAGTTCAGATATCCCCTTACCTGGGTTGACAATCATAACTGGAGGCAGTTTACTGCTTTAAGCCATGTTGGCTATTAACTTTGTTGATTTATCTATTAAAGAGTTCTACTTCCGGTTACACATGTGATTAAAAACGTAACTAAATCATTTTTACAAATACATATATAGATAAATTGGAAAACTAGGATGATTAATAAAACATACTTTGAACATAAGTTTGACTTAGCTAAGTCCGTTTTATGTTACGGTTTAAGACATACTTAAGTAGTACTTAGGCAGGTCTCAAGATTGCACCTAAAACATACTTATGACCCTACTTAAGTCAAAAACTTAGCAAGCTTTATGTTACGACCCCCTGTTTCGTATGCAGGGTACCCCTAGTTATATTTACCACATGGTACTCGCTCAATGTTCGGCACCTGCACTTCAAGCCAGTGTTTTCACCATGGGACAATTTGGATCAATAAACAGCGTTTTTGTACAAAAACCAAGTTCCCTGAAGTCCTTTTACATTTTTTGGCATTAGCCGATTCATCTGTTGAAACCTTATTGCACATATACAGGACACTCCCCGATTATTCCAAAAAAAGATTGAACTTTTGTGAAGAGGAGTTCAGGGAACCAGGTTTTTGTAGGGGGAATAAATATTTTTTAACACCTAATCGCCCGCAGGGTAAAAATTGAAAATCAATTGTAAATCCTTATTGCATATCTAAGGGATACTCTCAATCATATTTCAATTTCGGGGGCGATTTTGGCTTGAAAACTGACATTTTCTAAATAAATGAATGTGGCTTCTTCCCTCGTTACCCAAATATGAATGTGAGTACGGTTAGAGGCAAACACCTACGTGCGGGTATTACTGTCTTATGACAGCATCTAGAGTTTTGGTTTGTATGCTTATTTGGTTTTTTTAAATATAATTTTTTGTTTTGTTTTTGTATAGTATAAAATAAAAGAATATTACTGGAAACATGCCAATATCTCTTTAACAATGAAAGACAACTTTATCATTGAGTCAACATCTGTGGTGGACGTAAGGTTCTTAAATTTATAAGTATTTACATAAGAAAAATATATCTCATCAATGAGTTTATACGTAATGAGAAAAAAAAATGTACACTTCACTACATAATGGAATTCGTCACCTAGAGTGATTTTATTACATGAATTACATAATATTAAAGATCTGTCAGTATTTCATCTACCAGCTTCGATAGGAAGTCTGTGGTTACAAATTCTAAATTTTGTTAATATAATTCTTAAATCTTTTGGGAGTTTACTTAGGTACATTTCTTGCCCAAAACTGTTCTTAAAAATCATATGATTTAAACATTTAGATGAATTTTCTATCTTCATAAACCATTCTTGTGTAAATTGACTTAAAAATGTTTCTTTCACAACAGATTTTAACAATGTAATACTTAAGAAATTTTGATTCATCCATACATAAGACAGACCACGTGAATTCAAAAACTCCCTTGCACATTTCAACCATGGGTGCATAAATAAACCTTCAGAAAAGCGTTAATATAGAAAGCAGTACATTATGTATGTTAACTTATGCTCATGAAACATCAACAGTTTAGCCCCGTATGTAATCATTCGTACCTTTTCCTATCATAAATGGATATCTCCAGTTTCCCCCATACAACATGCAATTAGAGGTACTGAAATAAACGTGTAAAACAAATTTCAGAAATTTTAAGTGTACCTTCTCTAAAATAATTAAGTTTTCCTAACCCCATATATCAAAGTTGGGCTTATAACTTTATCAAAGAGATCTATTTGATAATCTTCTGGCAGATGAAAATATCTTATTTTTCTAAATACTCCATACCCTTGACCCTTGTTTAGTTCGGAACAGTCCACTACGAAACATGATAATACCTAAATATTTGAATTCGTTCACAATTTCAATTGGGGCCTCTTTTATATAAAAATATTTTCTTTGGAACTCTTCCTCTAGAAAAAATTAGTAGATTAGTTTTGTCTGTATTTACTTGAAGCTTCCAATGACCTTTTAAAATAATCTAAAAATTCGAAGATCTTTGTAAATCCTCTTAATTATCAGATAATAAAACTGTGTCATCAGCATAAAAAAGTATAAATAGTTTAAACATAGTCTGCATTTCAATTTCTAATTTTTCACTAAAGCTCCTAAGACCTTCAATATAATTCTGTAGTAAAAAGTTTTCTAATAAAGTTATTTCTAATTTTCTAATAAAGTTAATATATAAAGTAAAAAGAAAAGGTGTTAAATTTTCCCCTTTCTTACCCCAAGGTTACACATGAAAAATTCTGAGGTGTTTTGATCAAGACATATCTTTGATTTGATACAATTGTACATATTTTTGATAAATCTTAAACATTTACTATCTTTCCCACTTATTAACACTTTGGACCACAAACCAGAACTCCATACAGAAGAAATTTTTGTACAATTACACAAATAATCGCAAAATTTCCACCATTGAGTGGAATTAATCTAAAATAATTACAGTTTGAATTTGATGTCGATCCATTTTATTGACAAAAAATAAACGTTTCTTTTACAAAGCATAGTGACCTCAAATGTTTTTTCATACGTTTAATGTATTTTATCATTGAGATTTGCAGTTTTGTAAGTAATTAATATTATTCATACTACATTATATCGAAAAAAGAAGAAGAAAGAAACAAGGAAAAACAGTGAAAATCGTTTATTGTCTGACGTCATGGCGTCAGACAGTATTAGATTTAGCCAAGGCTTGTTGGTCAAGTCGTTCAATAGAATTCTTGTGATAACTTTATCTTGGAAACTTCATACTATCTAAACTATCAAATGGAGAGCATGTGGAGTAAAGGAAACATGCTAAACACCCAAACAAACCAAAGTACTTGAGCTGTTGTCATTATTATCACATTATAGGTTACATAACATTTGGCCATTCTCGAAAATTGCATCATTCATGTCCAGAAAAACAGAAGGAATGAAGCTGGTCAGGTCAACACTTGTCGATTATCTTTATAAGATTAACTAATGGATGTTTATTTTTCAATGCATACACCATGTCCCTCTACCTTTAGAATTTTTATAAGTCTACAAATATTCATAACTTTCAGACGTTTGCAAACGTTGCAAATGTATATTTTAAAAAATATCAAAGTGAAGTATAAATGTTGAATATTCTGTTGCTTTAAAGTAAATGCAAAGATATTAGCTCATTTAAAACACATTTATCTTTTTTAATAAGACATTTCTTATTTATAAAAATTGTTCACCAATTGATGTTTAGATTTTTATGTGTTGTAACTTTTCTTTGAAAAGCACTGGTTATATATCTTTCTATTCATAAACAGGCCCGTTGGAATAAATTTCAGAAAATTTCAGTTTCGGGTGGACAAAATGAAGAAAAATTCCTTATCGAGCACAAAAAAAATATCCGAAGTTAATATAGACATGATTTAGGGGACACAAGCATAAATTAGCTATGTATAAATCGGCAAAATTATTGAGCTCACTGCCCCCTCCCCCCCCCGTTCCTGCGTCCATGAAAAAAAAAAAATTAAAAGTAATATAGTGTGTATAGAATCACGTCTCTGATAGAATAAACTCATGTCCAAGTTTCTGAATTGAACTTTTCTTCTGTTTTATTGCTCAAAAGAATTCATTTCATGACTCAGAGTCATGTTGATTTACACTGGATTTAACTTTTCTTGATTCTTCGCGTAAAATTAAATTTGCTCAAGTCAGACAAGCTTTTTAGGAAAGCTAATACTTGTCGTATTTTGCGTTTATCCCATCGTGGTGTTTCCTGTCATATCGTGCGTTTTTCCTATCGTATCGTACGTTTATCCTATCCTATCGTGCGTTTATCGTGTCGTACATGTATCGTGTGTTTATCCTATCGTATCGTGTATCCTGTAAAGAATATCGATGCGGATACTGTGCTTCGTGTTTCTTATCAAAATTATAAATGTAGCAATTTTTCATTACATTTCATGGATTGTATTTGTATTTTTTTTTATTGTATGCGAGATGTGTTTCATATATGTATACAACAAGCCAATTTACCTGAGATTGGTCGAAAGTCACTCGAAGACCCCCAAAAATTCAAATAAGAGACCATTAGTGACCTAGACAAGATTTTTTCCCCTTTTTACTGAATCCCTTAACTTCAAAATAATGGAACCGTCACGGTAGCTCAGTAGGGAGAGCGCTCGCTCCGTGATCGGAAGGTCGTGTGCTCGAATCATGGCCGCGACTGACCTAAGTCGAGAAAAATAAGTAGCAACCGTTCCTTCGTCAAGACACTTTTAAGTGAAAGTTGCGGATCTTTAGGATGAGACCTTAAAAACCGAGGCCCGTTTCACGGTAGGCGTCGGCACGATAAAGAACCCTCACTGCTCAATGACCCTGAGAGCCGAGTAAAGGTCTAAATTTGAAGCCCTTCATGGGTATATGGTGACGTCTCTATATGAGTGAAAAATTCTCGAACGGGACGTTTAACAACATACAATCAATCAATCAAAACAATGGTTTCTATCCATTAGAATTTGACCATTTAACTTTGCAGAAAGATTAGGGATCATATTTTATTTTCATAATGTATTTTATAAGATTGTGTCACATTTTCCGTATTATTTTCAATAACACTGTTTTGTGAATGCCACAGAAATCTTTCATCATTCAATAACTTGTATAAGTCTTGTATATCAGAACTATGAATATTTTCTAATATTTGTCTTGTTTTGGGATTCATGGGCGGTTTTCCAATCTTGTCTTTTGTAACATACACTCTTTCTGATATCGTAATATTTAGTTTTTCTAGTTCATCATCTGTCAAAACACCTGAAAAAATAACATATTAAATCAACATAAAACTTTTAAAATACAAAATAGAAACAAGTAAAAACATTGTTATTGCCAATATATTGTTTATACTTAATTATGAAGGTCACAGATTGAAGGACAAATGATGATAACAAAGTTAATAAAGAAATTGTTTAGACTAAAAAAGAAATTTGCATTTAACAAACTTTTAATACTCACGTAATTCAAGAAATTTAAATACTTGTTTCACAACAGAGGACACATTAGATGAGTAATCTTCTGTACGTAGAATTAACATTTGTTCACGTGGAAATACTGAGAGCCATTCTCGTAAATAAATAGCATAAAATCCTAAATGTATTCTCGTCTGAAAATATAAAATTATATTTTATTGAGAGGCAATTACAAGAACTAGACTGTGCGAGCCTTAAATGTTTTGCACCTAATCAAATTAAGATCCAGACATTTACAGGTGTGACATTGAACTTCCAGTAAAACTTGTTACTCGTAAAGTTCTTTGAAAAGTAAATATTGAAGCTAAAGTTTGGGAATTATTTTGAAAAAGATTTTTTCAATTCTTACATAACTTATTATTAAAGCTAATATTACACTATTAAAGCTATGAAAGACTTGTCGGGTTATGTGAATGTAGATCCAAAATTGTGTATATTTCCACCCAGTAAAAAATTAGTTATTTTATACAAGAATTTTCTGTATTGCGTATAAAATGAATCTCATTCAATGATATCTATCTTAAACTTCTTAATTAACCATTTTATTAACATTTCTGTCTAATATTTTCAATTAAGCAAAGTAAATTAAAAGAAAATGTCTAATAATTGTATATCAGTCAATAAAAGAAAATCACCAAGATACCTGAAATACAATAAATATAAAGAAGCTACACAAAATAATCTTGCCAACCCTGCCTATCAAGTAAAAGAATAGAAAGTCGAAGAAATGAAGATTTTAAGTGGTGTTTTTGATTACGATCTGATTACGATCTTAGATGAAGATCATGAAACCTAATTTACAGGGAATAACTATTGTTTAAACGATATATCCATTCTCTCTTCTTATTTTACAAGTGGATCTCACCAATCAATGTCGAATTCAACGTTTAATACACGCAATTACATACATGTACATAGAAGATCGCCCGACGTGGCGCAGTGGTTAAAGCGTTTGCTAGAGAGTCGCGGAGTAAGGAGTTGATCCTTACGTCGCGGGTTCGAATCCCATTGTGGGACGTGGAGACCGGTCCTTCGGATGAGACCGTATAAACCGAGGTCCCATGTCACAGTAGTTGCTGGCACGAAAAAGATCCCTCACAGCTCAATGGCCCTGAGTGCCGAGTATAGGTCAAAATTTACGGCTCTCCAACGGTAAGTGGTGGCGTCTCCATATGAGTGAGAAATTCTCAAAAGGACATTAAACAACAGACAAACAAAAGTATACACATGTACATAGAAGATACACGCAATTAAAAGAATTATTATTTCAAATTTATATACACATTTTCTGCAATTTTCAACTTGCATAATTAATGTTTGCAATGTGTAAAAGGTGAATTAATCATATATAATTTCATTCAAGTAAATCTTAGAAAGAAAAACAATATCAATTATATAAATACAGTATTAACAAAGTGAAAAAAGGAAGATAACGAACAGTGATCGATCTAAAAAAAAAATTAAAATATTACAAATCTGCGAAAAGGGCATAAAGCACGTCCCCCCAAAATTGGTAAAATACCCGTAGTTTGAAAATGACAGGATCTTTACTACATACCCTTTCTTCTATAATCTTCTATAAACTGTGATAAAATTAACAAGTGTCTTCTACAAAAATTTAGAATTTTTCAATTTAAAATATGTATATGACAATTAATTGTCATATGCAAATTGAAATTGAAAAAATTTTAAATTTTTGTAGATGACATGAGCTATAAATCTATTTTCTTCGTGCTTTTCAATTTCGATTTTATTTTCTTACTAAAATGATAACACCATGTATACACCGTGGTCCGTTACTAATACATTTAATTTAATAAATGTTTATACTCCTAGAGTAATTGAAAAAGCATGTAATTTATCTCAGGATTTTCTTAATTATTCCGCATTTGTCGTTGATAACATCGTTTAAAGTATGCAGTTTCTTTATCACTGAACTGTCGCATATGACGTCACAGAAGTGTGCATATCGCTGTATTTGAATTTGATCTCTAAATTTCGCTTTAAACATTAAAATGTTTAATAAAGAAGAAGGTACATTTCATTACAAATCTGGCCCTGTATTTCTCTAAAAGATGAAAGTGGTGTAAGGAATTAAAACTCATGCTTTCTAGACTTTTGAAATGCCATGCAGTAAGAACATAGACAGATCGTTTTTCTCATATGTCCACTAAAATGCTAATTGTGACGTCATGAACTTTTTCATTTTTCCGCATTTTCTTAAAAAATTTTGAGAAATGTGATTTTTCCAATGATTTTACACAACATATCTGTTGTATATCTGTATATAGAAAATTAAAGTGGGCGACGGCTTTGGATACTATTTTCTAAGGAAAATAACCCCAGAAATGAATCTTTTTGAGGCTTTTTCTGTTAAAACCTTAGAAATGTAAATACCAAAATAATGACGTCATATTTCCAGAATGTTCATCCTTCATGCCATATTCTTTCATGCTTTATTACACTCATATACTCAACTCATATTTAAGCCAATTCCATAACCTTTTGAAAACATCAAAATTTTAGTGTTTAGGGCACAATAAAGCCCAAACGGTACCTTCTTCTTTTGTAAGGAGTAAAAATAGTGTCTTGGTAGACCATTTGCTGGACCTGGCAATCTTTATGAAGTTTAGAACTAACCTTTGTTGACTAGAATGGTAAAAGTATTAAACATGCACTGTAATGTGATTTTGAAGAATTTCACTCTTAGAAAGAGAACTGAGTATAAGTATAATTAAGTTAGACAGAACAAGCTCTATCATACACAGAGGTTACTCCGACGTTGACAGATCAAGACCGTTTGAAAGTGAGAAACATTTTAAACAGATGTTTTGGATAGCAGTGTTGAGGACATAAACAGAAATATTTTAAAATTTGATCTTCTCTAAATCAATTTGTTCTTCTGTTATACAACTCTTGAAGAAAATTGAAATTTAAGAGTTGGGTGACGTTTTATTGGTTAATGACAAGGCCGTAGGAACCGGGGGGGGGGGGCACAGGGGGCCGTGCCTCCCCCAATAATTTTCCGATATATAGAATACTATAGAAAACATAGCTGCTATATGCTTGTGCCCCCTTTTTTGCTTGTCAAGGTAGTTGATAGTGCCCCCTCAACTGAAAATGTATGGTTGTGCCCCCTCAAAGTGAAATTGCTTCCTACGGGCCTGAATGAATTGAGGACATACGCAACGTTTGAACTTAAATGTCTTTTTCCCTGGAGTTGAAGAGTTGCAACACTAAAAGGAATTGTGTGCTACATTATAATGTCTATATATAGTGCTGTACACTTCCTCTAAAACAAGTTTGGATTGACAAAGGAACTAGAATAGTAATTTTTGTATATTTTTCTTTGAATTATACAAGAATTTTCATCAATTGATATCTTTTTTTAAAAAAAACCTGGTAATGCATGCTGGCGCTATAATCTTGAAAATTTATCAGTATTATAAGTGTCCTTAAAACAACACGACCAAGTTTACTTTTTTGTATTTTATGTACATATTTTTCGATAAATCTTACTATGATAAATCATTCACTGGTGCTAAGAATTTTTAAGAGCAAAATTAACTTATTGTTTAATCAACGATGCATACACATTAGATGATCAGTGGAAATTAATAATAAGTAGCAATAGTTATATACTTACTTTTTGTTTAAATCTGCATTTATATGAAAATCAAACAGACAACTCCTCAAAATTCTTCGTATGCTACACCTCTCAAGAACATTAATTGCCTTCAACACAGCGAAATGAAAAGTAGTTTGATTCTTGTTTCGCTCTCCATTGTCAATAAAATAGTAGTCCGAATACAGTCTAAAAGAAGAAAGCTTGGTGATTGAGAACTATACAAATATCCTATGATATTGCACGAGGGAACTAAATAACTTTAGAATAAGACCTTTCATTTTCAAAACTAGATGATGTTGATCTTATGAATATGGTAAATATGTTTTTGTCCAAATTGTTGTCTTTATTATTCAAGTGTTGAATATTTTCATGGCATAAAAAGACATTCCAGAAATCTTGGAAATCAGCTATCCTCTGATAGTTTTTTTTTTACCTATCTACTGGATTTCTGAGTATAACTATAAGTTTAACGTCTGGATTTATGTGTTTAATGAGATGTGGGGTCAGATATCGGGGTTCTGAGAGTCCCCTGTTCTGTGGTATCATTTTCCATCCCCGAAAATCCCACATATCCATCGGAGTTCCGTCCCCTGAAAAAAAAATCAAAACATGCATGAGTCGAGACTAGGGTTCATTTTGTAACACTAAAAAGAAAACTTTAAAATATATAATGTTAACTGTAGTTTTGGTATGTTTAATTCACCAATTTCTAGAGTTCGACTTCATATTTTTATTAAGAACATTGGGTTAATTCCAGGGAAATAAGAACAAATTTAGTATCAAGTATTCTAATTAATATTTTGGATAAAAACAGTAACAAATTTGCCATTAAATGATGAAAGGGGTGCCTACTCACCAGTGATGAGCTTTGTCTTGCCGTCTTTTCGTTTAGCGTTATTTAACAATGCAGCCGTGTTACTAAAATAATTAACATAGTCTGAGAAATAGGTCTTCATCATGCTCGCTGACCATAACCAATAACCTATGAACAATAAGAGGAATATACATTTATTAAGATCAAGCAATTTTACTTAATTCTGTCATTTAATACTGATTGAAAACATTTTCTAAAACTAATTATAGGAAATGAGAAAAAAAATATTTGTGTCTGATATTTGATAGTAATACAAGTTGGAAGAGTAAATCTACTGCTTTGATAATTTATTTACTCGATTTAAATTCTACATGTAATTCATCAGATTTGAAAAATAAACTCGCCATATCGTTTCCAAGACCAATACATAGTTTCTTTGTCTTTTGTGTTCACTGCTACATCCGGGTGTCGCGATATCCGTGCACATTTATCCATTCCTATCACTTGAAAATATGGAAGGCATTTTAGTTTTCCGCTTACAGACTTCCAGCATGGGTTTTTATGCAAGGTCGAAAAATTAAATTGCGACTGGAAAAAATAGTGTTTGGGTTTTAGGAACAGATGGCTCAAACAACAAAACATTGATTTACTTTATTTTACATCAATGTTTCACATTTTTAAAAAGACATTTCATAAAGCTTGATTTGTTTGGATAAGTTTCTAAGTTAACTAAGGCTTTCAAAGAAAAAAATTTACAACTTCAAAATCGAAAATTCCCTCCACAAGTCTCTGGGCAGATTGTCATGTTGTAAATTTTGAATTTAGTTGGTGGTTGTACATACTAAATTTACAACATGACAACAATATAATTACTGCTACCAGTATATTCAGAATTTGCGAGATTAAGAAAGATCACATAGTAAAATTCAAAGACTGTTCGAATACAATGTGTAGTCACTTCAGGAACAGATTCATAGAAAAAGCTGTAACAATTGTGTATTTTTGCTATTTTATATAATCACACACACACACACACACACACACACACACACACACACACACACACATATATATATATATATATATATATATATATATATATATATATATATATATATATATATATATATATATATATATATATATATATATATATATATATCCATTCTTCAAATGTATAGTTTTGTCATGCAGAAATAGAGAAATAATACCATGCACAGAATATCGACCTTTTGGACACACGATATTATCCTTTTCCTTTACTGGCGAGGGAATAGTAATTGATAGTTTTGCAGGAGTGAGTGTCATCTGCAAAACTTTTGTTTGATCCTTCATGTAAAGTTCCAAAGAAATCAACAACAAAGTACAAGTTACGCAGGCGCAGAATTGGATGCATCTGATTTTCGACATTTTTCTGAATGTAAGCATCTGAAAGAATTTTGTAAAAAAAGCTTTATCCCCATATTCATTAACATGATGAAAATTTATAGACACTGATTATTTTTTTCTTTGAACTTCACTTTGAATTAATTTGAATTTATTCATAAAAATGAAAAAAAGGTAAAAATAACGAACCGTAATCGAACTCAAAATTTCATAGTATATTTGCTAACAAGGTTATTATAAAGACCATAGAATTTAGGAAATACAGGTTTCTAACGATGCTGTTGAAATCCCTGTAAGATCAACTTATCTGTCAGTGGCTTGTCTCGGTTTAAAAATTTATCTTACTCAGAGCATGCTCTTGAGTATCGAAAACGTTTGGAGACCACAGGCACTTGTTTCTGTAATAAATTTTTGACCCATAGTATAATATTATACTAAGGGTGAAAAATTTATTACAGAAACAAGTGCCTGTGTTGGAGATATAAACACAGATGCAGGTGTTAGCGGAATATTACTACAAAAATAAGGAAAGTGCTGAAGTTATCTCGTTTGTCATACAGTTTAGTTGTTAGTTGGCCCTTATCGCCTGTAGTTCGTAAAACATCCAAATATGAAACAGACTCTGTGGTGTCCTTTATTTCGAGTTCACTTGGATATATCGAGTTGACATATGGGTTGAAGTAACTATTGTTAATTGATAAAACACCGTCGATAAATCTGAATGTCAAGTTTTTTTCTTCTTCTCATTCAGAAGTTTGGAAATAAATTCTGCTTCATAGGAATATCACGAGAATACTTGACGTACAGAAAATAAAGAGTTGCTTCAGATGCTGTATTTGACCTACATTTTCCAGATAAATGACTAGGTTAGGCTAAAGTTTTTGGAGCAGACTCATTCCAGAGTAACTGGAAGCTCTTCCTAGACTAAACTTGCATGTTTGATGCATCAAGGGATGAACAATTTCAAATTTGCTGGATTTAACTTACTTTTTCTGGATGAGTAACAAGTTCAAAGTCTTTAGATAAGTCCATTCCCAAGTAAGTGCAAGCCATATCAGACAAAAATTGTATTATGTTGCATTTAGGAATGCACACTACCAAGCTATTAGTTTAGTGTGAGACTTTGCCATACCTAAAGATGAAATTCGTTGCTCAAGATGAGCTCTGTAATCTCTGATTAACTATGTTTTGTAAATAATAGAATTATTGTGGCTTCTTCCCTCGATACCCAAATATGAAGCGGGTACATTTAGAGGCAAACACCTACGTGCTGGTATAACTGTCTTATGACATCATCTATAATTTTTTGTCCAGCACTCAATTCACGTGTTTCATTTTGAAAGTTCACACCAAACTAGAAAACTTAAAATCTTGACGAAAGGACAGTAATCACTTTCCTTTTAAAATCTGTAACTTACCAACAAAATACTAGTAAATTCAACAATGTACTTGATATTTTCTATAGCTGGATTTATTTGTTAGTGTCCCAGAATATCTTTATCTTAAAAAAATAATGTTACCGGTCTTACTGCCTTTTATCAATTTTCTTGACATGATATATTTTTTCTGGAGGTTATCAAAGTATACCAGTATTCACAAATCGTGTTTCATTCTTTATTACATACGATAAAATGAGTACGATAGCAATGTGTATGTTGGTTATTTAACATTCAGTCTTCGATAAGCTGAGATAAAAATTACACAAATTTCTTAACAAGTGTATCCACGATTCCTTCCCTCCTTTAGTACTATATTGTATAACTGCATCGATACTTGTTATTGTGCAATTGAAAATCCTTCAAATGATTTGAACATTGCCTTATATAGAAATATCAATATAATTATCATTTCAATGAATTATTCATATGAAATCTTAAATAGTTACCTTTCAGATATGTGTATAATAAGCCAATGTACCTGAGATTGGATTAGAGCCACTCGAAAACCCGCAAAACTTTAAATCACAGAGAACTAGTGACCTAAACAAGATTCACATTATATTCAGACTTATTCCCTAAAACTGCAAAAGAATGGTTTCTAATGACATTCATTTGAATACGACCATTTAACTTCGCAGAGAGAGAGAGAGAGAGAGTAAGCATCATGTTTTATTTTCATAATATAGTTTATAAAATTGTGTCACATTTTCCTTATTCTTTTCAATAACATTGTTTTGTGATTGCCACAGAAATCTTTCATCATTCAATAACTTATATAAGTCTTGTATATCAGAACGATAAATATTTTCTAAGATTTGTCTTGTTTTGGGGTTCATGGGCGGTTTTCCAATCTTGTCTTTTGTAACATATACTCTTTTTGATACCGTAATATTCAGTTTTTCTAGTTCATCATCTGTCAAATCACCTGAAAAAATAACATAAAATAACCTTCAAAACCTCTAAAATACAAAATAGAAACAGGTAAAAACATTGTTATTGTCAATTTATTGTTTATACTTAATTATGAAGGTCACAGATTGAAGAGTAAATGATGATAACGAAGTTGATAATGAAAATGTTTCTGATGTTGAGACTAAAAAAAATTGCATTAAACAAACTTTTAATACTCACGTAATTCAAGAAATTTAAATACTTGTCTGACAACAGAGGACACATTAGATGAGTAATCTTCTGTCCGTAGAATTAACATTTGTTCACGTGGAAATACTGAGAGCCATTCTCGAAGATAAACAGCATAAAATCCTAAATGTATTCTCGTCTGAAAATATAAAATTATATTTTACTGAAAGGTAATTACCAGAACTACAGACTATGCGAGCCTTAAATGTTTTGTAACTTATCAAATTAAGATCCAAACTTTTACAGGTGTGACATTGAACTTCCAGTAGGACTTGTTACTCATAAAGTTCTTTGAAAATTATATATTGAAGCTGAAGTTTGGGAATTATTTTGAAAAAGATTCTTTCTATTGTTGCATAACTTATTATTAAAGCTAGTATTACACTATTAAAGCTATAAAAAACTTGTCGGGTTATGTGAATGTTGATGTATTTCCATTTTCCACCCAGTAAAAAAAAACTTAGCTATTTTATACAAGAATTTTCTGTATTGCTTATAAAGCTCATACAATGAGAGTTATTTTAAACTTCTTAATGAACCATTTCATTAACATTTCTGTATATTATTTTCAATTAAGCAAAGTAAATTAAAAAAAGGTCTAATAATTGTATATCAGTCAATAAAAGAAAATCATCATGATACCTGAAATACAATAAATATAAAGAAGCTACACAAAATAATCTTGCCAACACTATCTATCAAGGAAAAGAATAGAAAGTCAAAGAAATTAAGATTTTTAGGGATGGTTTTGTTGACGATTTTAGATGAAGATCGTGAAACCTAATTTACACTGAATAACCATTGTTAAGAAGATGTATCCATTCTATTTTCTTATTTTACAAATGGATCTCACCAATCAATGTCGAATTCAACGTTTAATACAAGCAATTACATACATAGAAGGTCGCCTGCGTGGCGCAGTGGTTAGAGCGTTTGCTCTAGAGTCGCGGAGTAGGGAGTTGATCATTACGTCGCGGGTTCGACAAACAAACCAACAAACAAAACATACATAGAAGATACACGCAATTAAAAATATTACACTATTTCAAATTTATATACAATTCTCTGCAATTTTCAACTTGCATAATTAATGTTTGCAATGTGTAAAAGGTGATTTAATCAAATATAATTTCATTCAAGTATAATGGTAAATGTTAGAAAGAAAAAATATTAATTATATAAATACAGTATTAAGAAAGTGAAAATAACGAACAGTGATCGATCTGAAAAAAAATCACAAAGCATTACAAATCTGTGAAAAGGGCATAAAACACGTACCCCCGAAAATTGGAAAAAATACAGCTGTACCTGTAGTTTGAAAATGACAGGATCTTTACTATATACCATTTCTTCTATAATCTTTATATAAACTGTGATAAAAATTGACATGTGTCCTCTTCAAAAATTTAGAATTTTTCAATTTAAATTTGTGTATGTGACACTTAATTGTCATATACAAATTGAAATTGAGAAATTCTAAATTTTTGTGGAGGACACAAGCTATAAATCAATTTTCTTCGTGCTTTTCAATTTCCTCTACTAAAATGATAACACCATGTATGCACTGTGGTCCGTTACTAGTACATAAATTTAACAAATGTTTATACTCTTAGAGTAATTGAAAAAGCATGTAATTTATTTCAGGATTTTCTTAATTATTCCGCATTTGTCGTTGATAACATCGTTAAAAGTATGCAGTTTCTCTATCACTGAACTGTTGCATATGACGTCGCAGAGGTATAGCGCCGAATGCATATCGTCGTATTTGAATTTGATCTCTAAATTTCGCTTTAAGGTCAAGATCTAGTAAATGAAGAGTGCCTACAGATTTCTCAAATTTGAGAAACAAATTCCTTTAGTAATCTTTTACAATTGTAGCTAAATAAATTGAGGTGTATCGGGGCATAATTTTTAGATAAAAGCAACGAAAAAACATATTTTAAACTGCCCTTTTCAATGAAAAATGAAGAAAATCAGGTATAAAAATGGGAGTTTTCTGAATCTCAGACAAATAAAATGTATCAATATTGCCTACAGTCTCTCAATAAATGGTTTTTCATATCTTCTTGGCCTCTTCTTTAAAATGATATTAAATTGAATTTAGGTATCGGGGTTCCTTTAGAAATGATTTCAAATTGAATTCCATGAAAATGTGTCATTTTCTACTTAATTCTGTTATAGCCGTAAAAAACTGGAAAAAATAAGATTAAATCAATTATGACGTCATAATGGATCTAGCACCAAAAGACAGACTAAACTCATTTACTAGATCTTGACCTTAAGGTCAAGATCTAGTAAATAAGTTTAGACTGTCATTTTAGTGCTAGATCCATTGTGACGTCATAATTGATTTTAACTTAATTTTTCCCGTACTTTACAGCTATTATAGAATTACATAGAAAATGAAACATTTTCATGGAATTCAATTTGAAATCATGTCAAAATTAACCCGGATACCTATATTCAAATTAATATCATTTTAAAGAAAAGGTCAAGAAGATATGAAAAACTGTTTTCCAAGAGACTGTAGGCAATATTGATACATTTTCTTTTTCTGAGAAGGAAAAAACTCCCATATTTATACATGACTTCCTTCATTTTTCATTGAAAATAACAGTTTAAAGTATCATTTTTCGTTGAGTTTACCTAAAAATTATGCCCCGATACACCTTATTTCGCCAAGCTATATTTATAAAGGATCATTGAAAGAACTTGTTTCTCAAGTTCCAGAAATCTGAAGGCACCTTTCATTTAATAGATCTTGACCTTAAAATTTTTAATAAATTGTAAGGAGTAAAAATAGTGTCTTGGTAGACCATTTGCTGGACCAGGCAATGTTTATGAATTTTAGAACTAACCTTTGTTAACATGTACTGAAATGTGATTTTGAAGAACTTCACTCTTAGAAAGAGAACTATGAGTATTTATACTTATAAATTAATAAAGACTCTTTTGCAAATAAACTCCGAAATAGGTGCACCAGAGTTCTTACTAACTCCTCTATGAATACACTAGATACAAGATGAGATCCGTAAACTATATTCAGATTACACTCGCATAGTAATTAGTAAGTATGGTACATTAATTTAAAAGTCTACTTTCATTTTCTATAAACAGCCATGAAATAGTAAAAACATGAGTACGATGGCGGTTTCGGTTGGCGGATCTAAGTTACTAACAATTTTTAATGAAAGTGACAACAAGCAAGCGTTTATTTATTTCATAAAACGTCATCACTGAATTATTCAATCAAAACTTGATTTAAATGATATAAAAGAAATAAGTTGTGATGACAAATTTGAAAGGAAAATGTGCAAATTATTTTGTCATAATATTGACGGAAGCTTCTAGAACATCATATAGCATCGAGCCCAATGTTAAATAGAAAATCGAGCGATTATAGCTGCGTGACATAAAAAAAAAGCTTTTGCGTGAATGGACATTGAAATTATGGTAAATCATTGATAACACTTTAAGTTGCGAATATATTTATATATGGAAGGACAGTCACTATTACAAATGTAGTAGGTTTTCCTAATAAATTTATCGGTAAAATTTGTAAATTCCTCACTGAGAGCATAGTGACAACGAACCACAAGTACAATTTGTACTTCGTAATAAATTTGCTTACATGAAAAGAGAAAATTAATGAATAAGGTATTGTTCAAATACAATTAAAGCTGTTAAAATGTTGTGCTTTAATAAAAACATTTCAGTTTTTTTTCTAAATACAGTCTTGTGTATCAAATACTCGGCGTTAAAAGTTAATGTTTACAAAAAAATCAGTTGATCATTAAAATATGCATATTCGCTGCTTTTATCTTTGAGAAAAATGAAATAAAAGCACCTAAAGTCATAGTATATAACAGGTTTCACAATAAAGTCAATTAACATGATTAATGAAATTGTTATTTTTCAAGTTTTTACAAGAGGGGGTTGGTTGGTGGTGACGTACATCTACTTCTGCTCCAAAGCTAAATGCAGGATACTGAATTTTTTTTTTAAAGATTTGATCTTCTCTAGATCAATTTTTTCTTCTGTTATGCAACTCTCGAAGAAAATTGAAACTTAATAGTTGGTTGACGTTTGATTAGTTAATGAATTAAAACAACCCGAGCCAGTTAACTTTTTCGTATTTATGTACATATTTTTCGATAAATCTTACACTGACAAATCATTAATTGGTGCTAAGAAATTTAAAGAGCAAAGTTTACTTATTGTTTAACCAACGATGTATACACATTAGATGATCAGCGGAAATTGATAATAAGTAGCAATAGCTATTTACTTACTTTTTGTTTAACTAAGTCTGCATTGATATGAAAATCAAACAGACAACTCCTCAAACTTCTTCGTATGCGACACCTCTCAAGAACATCAATTGCCTTCAACACAGCGAAATGAAAAGTAGTTTGATTCTTGTTTCGCTCTCCATTGTCAATAAAATAGTAGTCCGAATACAGTCTAAAAGAAGAAAGCTTGGTGATTGAGAACTATACAAATATCCTAAGATATTGTACGAGGGAACTGAATAACATTAGAATAAGACCTTTAGTTTTCAAAACTAGATGATGTTGATCTTGTGAATATGGTAAATATGTTTTTGTCCAAATTGTTGTCTTTATTATTCAAATGTTGAATATTTTCATCATATAAAAGGCATTCCAGAAATCTTGGAAATCAACTATCCTCTGATGGTTTTTTTTTACCTATCTACTGGATTTCTGAGTATAACTATAAGTTTAACGTCTGGATTTATGTGTTTAATGAGATGTGGGGTCAGATATCGGGGTTCTGAGAGTCCCCTGTTCTGTGGTATCATTTTCCATCCCCGAAAATCCCACATATCCATCGGAGTTCCGTCCCCTGAAAAAAATCAAAACATGCATGAGTCGAGACTAGGGTTTATTTTGCAACACCAAAAAGAAAACTTTAAAATATATAATGTTAATTGTAGTTTTGGTATGTTTTATTCACCAATTTCTAGAGTTTGGCTTTATATTTTTATTGAGAACACTGAGGTAATTCCAGAGAAATAATAACAAATTTAGTATCAAGTATTCCAATTAACATTTTAGTTAAAAACAGTAACAAATTTGCCCTAAAATGATGAAAGGGGTGCCTACTCACCAGTGATGAGCTTTGTCTTGCCGTCTTTTCGTGTAGCGTTATTTAATAATGCAGCCGTGTTACTAAAATAATTTACATAGTCTGAGAAATAGGTCTTCATCATGCTCGCTGACCATAACCAATAACCTATGATCAATATAAGGAATATACATTTATTAAGATCAAACAACTTTACTTAATTCTGTCATTTAATACTGATTAAAAACATTTTCTAAAACTAATTATCAGTGGACAAGAAAATGGGGAAAAAAATCTTTGTGCCTGATATTTGATAGTAATACAAGTTGGAAGAGTAAATCTACTGCTTTGATAATTTATATACTCGATTTAAATTCTATATGTAATTCATCAGATTTGAAAAATAAACTCGCCATATCGTTTCCAAGACCAATACATAGTCTCTTTGTTTTTTGTGTTCACTGCTACATCCGGGTGTCGCGATATCCGTGCAAAAAGGTCAGTCGTGCCACATTTATCCATTCCTATCACTTGAAAATATGGAAGGCATTTTAGTTTTCCGCTTACAGACTTCCAGCATGGGTTTTTATGCAAGGTCGAAAAATTAAATTGCGACTGGAAAAAATAGTGTTTGGGTTTTAGGAACACATGGCTCAAACAACAAAGCATTGATTTACTTTATTTCACATCAATGTTTCACATTTTTTAAAAAGACATTTCACAGAGCTTGATTTGTTTGGATAAGTTTCTAAGTTAACTAAGGCTTTCAAAAAAAGAAATTCACAATTTCAAAATCAAAAATTCCCTCCACAAGTCTCTGGGCAGATTGTCATGTTGTAAATTTTGAAATTATTTGGTGGTTGTTAATACTAAATTTACAACATGACAACAATATAATTACTGCTACCAGTATATTCAGAATTTGCGAGATTAAGAAAGATCATATAGCAAAATTCAAAGTCTGTCTGAATACAATGTGTAGTCACTTTAGGAACAGATTCAAAGAAAAAGCTGTTAGAATTGTGTATTTTTGCTATTTTATATAATCATATTTTTCTATATATAACTATATATAACTATATATATATATATATATATATATATATATATATATATATATATATATATATATATCCATTCTTCAAATGTATAGTTTTGTCATGCAGAAATAGAGAAATAATACCATGCACAGAATATCGTCAATAACTGGTTTTGGTCGACCTTTTGGACACACGATAGTATTTTTTTCCTTTACTGGCGAGGGAATAGTAATTGATAGTTTTGCAGGAGTGAATGTCGTCTGCAAAACTTTTGTTTGATCCTTCATGTAAAGTTCCAAGGAAATCAACAACAAAGTACAAGTTACGCAGGCGCAGAATTGGATGCATCTGATTTTCGACATCTTTCTGAATGTAAGCATCTGAAAGATTAAAAAAAAAATACTTTATCCCCCTTTCATTAACATGATGAAAATTTATAACAGTGATTTTTTTTTCTTTGAACATCACTTTGAATTAATTTGAATTTATTCATAAAAACTGAATGAAAAACGGTAAAAATAACGAACAGCGATCAAACTCATAAAACCCTATAAACAATACAAATCTGTGAACAGGAAATGAAGCAACGACCTCTGGAAATTCCAGAGTTGGGATCAGGTGCCTATAGGGAGGAAACATCCCCTATTGACCGGTTACATCCGCCGTGAGCCCTATGTACTGATCAGGTACACTGAATATTCCGTAGTCAAATTAAGCTTAAAAACAGAGGCCTAACATGTCAGTCGAAATACGACCCAATGATTGGTTATATTTGCTAGCTAGGTCATTATACAGACCATAGAATTTAGGAAATGCAGGCTTTAAGCGATATGCTGTTGAAATCCCTGTAACATCAACTTATCTGTCAGTGGCTTGTCTCGGTTTAAAAATTTATCTTACTCAGAGCATGCTCTTGAGTATCGAATACGTTTGGAGACATAAACTCAGATGCAGGTCTTGCGGAATATTACTGTACATAAATAAGGAAAGTTGACGATGGAAAAGCTGAAGTTATCTCCTTTATCATACAGTTTAGTTATTAGTTGGTCCTTATTGTCTGTAGTCAGTAAAACCTCCAAATATGAAACAGATTCTGTGGTGTCCTTTATTTCGAGTGCACTTGGATATATCGAGTCGACATATGGGCTGAGGTAACTATTGTTATTGATAAAACATCGTCGATATATCTGAATGTATCATTATCGATCCATGCATCCGTGTTTTTGTTTGAGGCATTTTTCCTTAACAGAAGTAAAGATATCAAACGGGTGGAAAAATTCAAATCCTATCCGATCAACACGAGTCTTCAATTCATATACTAGTATACTTAGTGCATACTAGTCGTATATATTCAAAAGGTCTTACCGGGATTCCCTTGTCAATGATGCCAAAAGCTTGCGTTTTTCTTGTGCAATGGGCAATGCATGTTGATATTTCACAAAAGACGTCTGAAGGAATCTAAATTAAAAAGGCAATTTACAAAGGTATTGGAAGGGTGGTGGCATTCAATCAAGGGAATTATAATCTAAGAAATCATTATCTAATTGAAAAGAGTTTACATATTTACAGGAAAATCAACATGCTAGGTATATGTATTGTTGGACCTTTCCCATCAATCTTAATTCACATACAGCTACAAACACCATCATTCACAACAAAGATCAAGGTAGATAGAATACTTTTTTGGATCATAAATGTTTACGTTTCAGAACAAATAATTTGATATTCAAACAATTTTACTTATTTATTCAAGAAATTCAAAAAGTTCACATGGGGATCAAATTTCCAATATCCCCATTCTGATTAATTCCTTGACAATTTTAAGTTGACAACACAATGCATATTCTATCATATATACCAAATTTACATATTACACTAATTTTTTTTTTTATGAAATTAGATTATTGTAAATCTCACATAGACTAGTCTTTTTTGCGTGTCTTTTCTGGATAAAGAGTAATGTACTGTTTTATCAAAATCGAAGAAATAAGTTTTGAACATTGTTCCAATTTATCATTCAAGGATTTATGTATCGTTCAAAAAGATCTGCCCTAAAACACATAGTCTCACACACTAATGTATACAAGTACACATCAGGAATCGCATATACACAAGCCCTTGATTAAAAAATATCGTAGATTTTTTCTTAAATATTATTTGTTGCAAATATGGAATGTAAAACTAATGAAGGTGATAAATGTAGTTATCTACAATGTAAATCAAACAGGCGGAGCATAAAGGAAACAATGCATTGTCTTATTAACATAAATATTTTGGCAGAGTAATTATGTTTTAGAGGTTACCAGAGGTCGTCCATTAGATTGCTATTTAGATATTTCACCTGAAAACCTTTCGTAAAAAAATGAATTCTCAAAACGCACACCTTGGTTCACATACATGTAATGTTATCATAATCTTCAAATTAAAAGGTTAAAAAATTTTGTATGTAATAAAATAAAAACAAAAACCAATTAAATGCCTGGTCTTATCTTATCATGTCTATGATTTAAGTTAACGATAGAATTATGTAACTGCAGAGATAGTAGTATTTTTCTTTATATCTATATTTGAAATTCTTCAATTTTAAAATGGTCAAAAAATAAGTCCATTATAGTTCATCTAGCCAGCTTAGATGTTCGTATACAGGGCAGTACAACAGATTCGGTACGAAACAGATGACAAAAACAAAACATCCAAATGGCAAAACACACCTCCGTTTTTGTTTTTTTTTTTTAAATCAAGTCCAAGAAATTTATATCGTAAGTAATGATCAATGTAAAAATAAGAAATATATAAAAACTTACGTGTCAATAATCATTCCATTATGAAAAGATGATAAAGCCGGCATTAATCCGCAATGTAATGCACATCTCCATGCGAGAACTTCGCTTCAGGGCACATAGTATAGGGCGAATATGATGACAGTACGACGCTCTGACAAACATCAATTAACACGAAATACAAAGATTACGTATGCACGTGTGGGGCTTGAGAAAAAAAGTTTATTTTTCTTTTCTTTAAAAACATTTTGACGATGCTTTCGATGAATAAACCTTTCTGATACAATAATAAATGTAAATCTTAATTGTCACCTTTGTGCTGAAAAATGTACATATAAGGAAAGACAATAAAACAATGAATGCTACTACTGTTCCAGAATATTCCAGAAATCTTAGCGTTTTTATTTACTTTTCCTTTAAACTAAAGGATTTCACACATCATTGTCTTTTCAACACTGACAGCTTAATGTAAAAGATGAAGATAACGAGAACAGTGTTCTCATGAATCCAGTAGAGGATAAGAATCCTGGACAGGGGAAAAAAACACCAGAGGTGGGACCAGGTGCCTATGAGAAGTAAGCATCCCCTGTGGACAGGTTCCACCCGCCGTGAGCACTATCAGGTAGACGGAGTAATCCTTAGTCAAATTTAGTATAAAAACAATGATTTATCACAATTGGAATGAAACATGTCTTTTAGAAAATTTGAATCGCAAAATGTTAACAAAATCAATAACATCAAAAACATACGACTTTTCTACACTTTATACAACCATTCCCAAAATTAAATTAAAGTCCACTCTTTTTGACGTCATAGACAGCTGCTTTTTCAATAAAAATGGAACTCGTAAATATACTCACCTTGTCAATGGTCATTTGCAAAATGATTTTGTTAAAAACATTCTGATTATACACACAAGGACTCTGAAGTTGATATTAAAAAGATGCTTGAGTTTCTGATTGACAATATATATTTATGTAGTTTTTGGAGATCAGGTCTTCCAACAATCTGTTGGAATTCCCATGGGTACCAATTGCACCCCCTTATTAGCAAACCTATTTTTGTATTCAGAATTTATTCAAAAACTTCAACATGAGAAGAAGAAAACACTTGCTGTGGCCTTCAACTCGACATTTAGATATTTCGACGACGTGTCTATCAATTAACAATAGTTACTTTTATTCATATGTGGACTCGATATATCTCAGTGAGCTTGAAATAAAAGATACGATAGGGTCTGACACATCTGTTTCATATTTGAATATTTTACTAGAAATAGACTTTAAAAGTAACCCAACAACAAAGCTTTATGATAAACGTGATGACTTCAATTTTCAATCGTTAATTTCACTTACGTACAGTGTAGCAATATATCACCTGCATATGGGGTTTTTGTCTCTCAGTTAATTCGATACGCAAGAGCATGCTCTACGTATGAACATTTTCTAAAACAAGGCAAGCTATTGACAAACAAGTTGATGAAACAAGGATATTAACAGTCTCGTTTGAAGTCAACATTTTGCAAGTTTTATGGTCGACACAATGACCTTATCAGCAAATACAAAGTATCATTAATTCAAATGTTGACTGACGTTTTTCATACTAATTGTTTTACACACTGAATTGTCTACGGATTTTTCCGTTTTCCCGATCATGACAAGGAGCACACGGTGGGTGTGACCGGTCGGCAAGGAATGTTCACTCCTCCATGGCACCTGATCCTACGTGCGATGTTTTCGGAGGTCCATGTTTGCTCTTCTCCCGATTTGTATTGTCTAAATGGACTTTGAGCTTGAATACAGTTCGTTATCTCCATTTTTCATAAATAGTAACATCCCAACTGTATTCTCGCCTGCAATCAGTTAAAAAGTTTTAGGTCAAATAATTCCAAATATTTAGAGATTAATCATATATTAAATTTTATCTTGATCCTTTTGATTATCAATTACTTTTGTTTTTAGTTTTACATTGTATATTGATACGTTTAAATCCCTACAGATGCCTGACGGAGGAACATGAGGTTGAATAACATGTTATAGTAGTGTTATGATACAAGGTTCAATTGTTTGTTTGTTTGTTTGTTGTTTAACGTCCCTCTCGAGAATTTTTAACTCATATGGAGACGCCACCATTTGCCGCGGTGGAGAGCCGCAAATTTTGACCTATACTCGGCATTTACGGATCTTTTTCGTGCCAGCACCAACGGCGACACGGGACCTCGGTTTTTACGGTTTCATCCAAAGGACCGGTCTCCACGTCCCGCAGTGGGATTCGATGTTCGAAGTACTTAATTCCTTACTGGGCCACGCGGGCGACTACAAGGTTCAATACTCTCTCTTTTTCAGTGATTTTTAGTTGATATTATGAAATTCATCTTTCAGGCTGGTCACCAAAGTAAATGTCAGACATTTAGCAGGTGATTTATAAGT